CCCCAAAACCCCAAAACCCCAAAACCCCAAAACCCCAAAACCCCATTAAAACCCCAAAACACTGAGTTCCTATAAACTATATTTAAAATGGAAAGAAGACGTATAGCTTTAGATAGTTCCTCCTCTTCAGATGATAGTTCGCCAAATATTCGCAGAACTTTTCTAGGTAGGAGACCACCTAGTTCTTTGTTAAGAAGGCTTACGACTTCGAGATCAAGACCGAATACTCGTCAGAAAAAGATGAATGAAGAAGAGAGACAGAAGTTGCTACAACAAAGGAGGCAGAAAAAAGAGGAGAATAGGAAGAAGGAAGAGAAGGTTAGGAAGGAGAAGGAAGAGAGTAGGAGCAAGCAGAGACTGGAGTTGCTTGATGAGGAGGCTAAGGAAGTTTGTAAGAAGTATAAGGTTCAATGGGAGAATACTGATAAGGAGACAGCAGGAGAGAATCTAGAATGATGGAAAGCTATTAAGAATCCAAGTTTAAATTGATTTATGATTGCTTCAATGCAAAGCTTATTGAGTCTTCCAGAATTTGTGAAATACTTTTCTGATGGTTCTGATGGAGATTTGGCTGAAGAAAGTAAAGAAATTACTTTTAGCAAAGAATTAAATCCTAATGCTAAAGTTTCTTGACTGATGCAAGACTTGTTGAAGGAATATTATGACAGTGATACTGCAGTTTTGGATGTGACTAAGGTCAGGTCTGAGTTTTCAGCTAATTTCCCCGAATCTGAAATGCATGACTCTTGACAATTCATTTTGGCATTACTCAACATTCTTGAAAATGAGCTAAATCCTTCAGAACAACAATTTATACCACTGGGTATTAAGAATAACCTTGAAGCTTGGAAAAAGTACCAAGAGGCTTGCCCTTCAATTGTTGGAAAGCTGTTTGTTGGCATGGAAGAGACTATATACCAATGTAAGAAATGTTCTCATGAACGTAAGATATATGAAGAGTTCAAAAATATGTCCATATAAAATGAACTCCAAAAGCTTCAATTAAAGGATTCATAGAGTTTCTTTCACAGCTATCATCTTCTGAAGAGATCCAAATGAAATGTAAAAAGTGCAAGAATATACAAGACTTGGTTATGAAAAAGAGGATCATTAGATATCCCAAATACTTGATGTTGGTGATTGGGAGAAAAGATCCATTTACTCAGGAAGAAATTAAAGGCTTTGTAGACTACCCCAACAGCTTTGTACAGTTCGACCCTCAAAGTGACAAAGAGATCACATACACTTTGAATAATGTTATCATCAATGTTAATGCCTTGCACTACTCCACCTACTGTAAGAGAGGTAGCAGATGGGTTCGTTTAGAGAACAAAAAAGTGAAGGCGGTCCACCCAAGTGATCTAAAGAGCGAATATGCTTATATTCTTTTCTACGAGGCAAAAGATCTGAAAATCTAAAATATCAATAGTATTTTCACCTCTCGGGGTTTTGGGGTTTTGGGGTTTTGGGGTTTTGGGGTTTTGGGGTTTTGGGG